AACGCCTGGCGAGTCCGGAACGATCGCGTCTTTCGCGCCGACCTACCGCTGCCAAGTCAATGGACGATTGCCGTCAAGGCGGCACGCGTCGCTCAACTGCACTTGCACCACAGCCTCATCCAAGAGCCCGAGCAGCCTGCTCTTCGTCAACTTCGCCGGCTCCTCGCCCAACACGAGTGACCGCGACGTCACCTCGTTCCGCGGATCGCGCTCCTGCCTCCGCCTGCCTAAATCAAGTCCCTCAACCGAGTACACACAAAGAAGAAAGTCCGACAATTTTATTTAGCATAGTTTTATCTATTGTAATAGACGACCCACTTCAACAACAGCGCATTCCAGCCAACACACCTAGCCCCAACCGAGAGCATTAGAATAATAGAGGTTTTTCGCAACTCATTTACTTTTGACTTTGACTTTTGAGTTTCGCTCTCTGCAATTTGATTGGCTGCTGAAAAAAGTCCACGACTTCGGCGAAAGTCAACGTTGAGCAAATGGGCCCAAAAAGTCAACGTTCATTTGACTTTTCGGGACTGCTCGTTTCGGTATCCGGCAGTCGTATCCGTAAGCGTTCGGCGGCCGCTCGGCGAAATCGATGGTAGGCTCCACTGAGCTCGGCTCAAGCGGCTAACTTCGTGAACGCGCTCTATGCCGCGTGTCGAGGTGACGTCGTGCGAGTTATGCGCATCTTACAGCGTCTACGCGTCAATCGTCTGTTCCGTATACAGCGACCCCCGCCGCGAATCAACTTTGTCAACGGCTTCGCTCTCGACGATGCCACCGCCGTCGAGCGGTACCGCTTCACCATCTCGCAGTTGCAGTAACTCGCGGATCGACTCATCCCGAGTGCTGTGGACCAGTTGTGGACCGTCCTTAACGACGCGGCAAGCTGGGTTCTTGAGCATGTTCTTGGCGACCTGATCCCATCGCTGCATGATGCCGCGCGGCTCTGCAAGCCACGGCTGCACCTCACTCATGCACTGGCACAAATTGACATCGTCTTGAGGCGAGAACTGCGACCTGGACGCTGATGCTTGCGAGGGCTGGCTAGTAGAGCCGCTCTCTTCGTCCCCGTCCCTGCTGCGCATCGGCCTGACGAAACTGGTGGCGGCAGCCGCGTGCTCGTATCCGTACATTTATCCGGCACAAACTACTTTTGAGTTTCAACGGGCTTGCGAAATACGCGTTTTGATCTTCGTTGAAATTCAATAGAAGAGCTCAAAAGTAAAGTCAAAGTCAAAAGTAAATGAGTTGCGAAAATCCTCTAATAAGACCCAATCGTGGCATGCTGCTCGTTGACGTGAATAAACATCATATCTATCTATCTATTGTTGACGCAAATGTTGAGTTATGTGTACTAGTATTAAAGTATGTGGCTGCAGACTATTTTCTAATGTGGCTGTTGTTGTCCTTGACGTTGTTTACCTGCTGGTCTTCGAGCGCCACCAAAAAGTCGTCGAGTTGACGGTGCTTGGCGCAGAGGTTCTCGACCTGCGCCGGTGAAATATCGGTCGTCGCGTTCGCAAACACACTTGCAATCGCGGCCGTCTCGTCTGCCGTCAACGTCGTCGCAAAGTAGTGCTGCACCATGAGCGTGGCTTGGGTAGCGTCCATGGCGCCCATGTATAGCTGCTCGTCGATGCGGCCAGGGCGAATGAGCGCCGGGTCGAGCTTCTCCGGGTGGTTGGACGTCATGATGAGGATACGACCCGGCGTGTCGACGACGCCGTCGAGGACATTGAGGAGGCCGCTGAGGTTGAGCTTGTTTTGGGGCGTAAACTTGGTCATCGACTTGATGCCACCCGCGCTCGCCAGACTGGCTGCGACAGCGGCGTCGAGCATCATGCGGTCTTCGTCGTCGGACGGGACACTGGTCGGCGAGTCCTTGCGCATGTGAACGACCTCGGACGCGCAGTCAATATCTTCCATCACAAACACCACCTTGTCGTAGCTCAGCTTGACCGGCATGTCTTCGCCCGGCACATTCATGCGCAAATCGAGCATGCAGTCCATGAGCTCTTGGTTCGTCTTGACATTCGCGAGCGAAATGTTGACGATATGGCGCTTCGTGTGCTGTGCGATCGCCTTGATGAGGCTCGTCTTGCCCGTGCCCGGTGGCCCGTGGAGCAGAAACCCGAGCTTGTACGGAAAGCCTTGGATCGCGTACTTGCCGCTCTTGGCCGTAAACGTGTCGAGGAGATCGAGAAGCGCGGTCTTGGTCTCGAAGAAGAGGTTCTCGAACGTCTTGTGGTCACTTAACGCGTAGCGCTTAAAGAGCGGGGCCGACGGTGTGCTATCGTCCTCAGACGACGATGCCGCCGGCGGTGATGCGCCCCCCGACGCCACATACATGTAGCGGGTCTTGTCGCGGAGCTTCTTGGCGACGATCGCATCTTGGTACGCCTGAAAGGCCGTGTTGACAAAAGTGTCGATGCGAGCACCCGCGTCGACACCCGACGCCCGGAGCTTGAACGTGATCGTCGACTCCTTCATGCTGCGCTGGTTGCTGTTGCCGCCACCGCTCTCGCCGGCTTCGTACACGTCGTGGTAGAACCAGAGCCCGTCTTCTATCTCGATCCACTCGCCGATTGGCGGGAGTGCGTTCACCGTGAGAATGGTCACGTCGACGTCGAGCTCCCGCGTGTCCCAGTAGTCGCGGCCGTTGGGATTCGGCGCGTCGTCGCCGAGACGCGACACAATGTCCGTGTCGAGGGCCTCGACGAGCTGGTACCGACCCGACGGCTTGTGCGCCATGACCATGTGCTTGGTCAAGTAGTTTGCGATCGCGCGCTGAAGGATGTAGTTCATGTCGCTTTCGTCGTAAATCTGGCCGTGGGACGCCATGTAGTGCTTGGCACTGATGACTCGCAGCGTCGACCGGCGGCCAAACGACAACACAGAGAGTAGATTGTCGACAAAGTCGCCAAGCGAGATGGACCCGGCGGTGTCGTAGAGCTGCTTGAGCACGATCGGGAGGAGAATGCACATGGCTGTCTCCGTCTTGTTGGCGCGCATCGACGAGAACATGCCGAGCTGCATCATTTGCGACTCCATGGCGACGAGGTGAAATGCAATTTGACAAGTCGAAAGCCACTCGACCACGACGACCATCACTGGCGTCTCATGCTTGGAAGAAAGCTTTCGTGCTCGTATTTTTGTATGCGGCGTGGAAACGACCAGCACTCAGTACTTGGGTTGCTGCACTATTTGTTGTCGGCATGTTGCAGCGTGCTGCGTTCCGTGCAACGGCACCATGCGCCGAACCTCTTGGGGAAGCTCGCTCTCTCGCGACGCCTGTAACATTGATATGGCCGATCCTTGGCACTCTATATAGGTACATTAGCTCTGTGGTTGCGTAAGGAATCGTCTCGCTTTGGTGCGAGGTTCTGGAGCGCTTTTGGCAAGCAGGATGACACCGCTGTGCTGTCGCGTGGCTGCTGGGTGCTGGCAAGGCGACCAACAGATGTCGTCATGATCGTTTTGATTGGCTGAGATGGTCACAGAGCGCACGGATTGGCTGATTATTAGCGAATCAAACGCCAGTATTCAAATGGGCATTGAATTCGTTGTTGTTGTTGAATTGGGTCCTCTATTACAATAGATAAAACTATGCTAAATAAAATTGTCGGACTTTCTTCGTTGTGTGTACTCGGTTGAGGGACTTGATTTAGGCAGGCGGAGGCAGGAGCGCAATCCGCGGGACGAGGTGACGTCGCGGCCACTCGTGTTGGGCGAGGAGCCGGAGAAGCCGACGAAGAGCAGGCTGTTCGGGCTCTTGTACGAGGCTGTGGTGCAAGTGCAGTTGAGCGACGCGTGCCGCCTTGACGGCAATCGTCCAT